TTACCAGGACCAAAGATCAGATGAGAAAGCCCAAAGTCAGTTTCGGGCACAAGACCAGTTTGGTTAAAGAGGCATAAAAAAGAAGGTCTCCATCGCAAAATGCCTCTGAGGTAGAATAGCAAAACTGCTGGCTACCTGGCCTCGATTCTGCAGTATGCTCCACCCCCAACTCCAGTCTTCAGACAAACAGGGTTCTGCATTCAGCTGAATTACACAAATCCCTCTGATCAGCTCTTCATTTTAGCTCTTAGTAATACAAGAAAGGGCCTTTCCTAACAGCCCTTCTGACAAATTGGAAACAGGATTTCTCTAACCTGTATGTATTCATCAAAAAAGGAGTTAGAATTGGGAGGCCATCTTCTAAGGCCTCATGTGAGAAAGGCCCAGCGCGAAATGAGAGAAAAGCCAGGATGAGAGGCCAAAGAATCCTCTCCATCTCCAGAAGACATGACATGAACAAACATCCAATTGTTGTCCCCCAAACTCTATCAACTCGTTCCAACATGATGTAGTGAAATGAGCACTGATTTGGAAGTCAGGTGAACTGAGTTCCAAACCCAACTGTATAACCGTGGGCAAATTACCCACTATCTTTGAGTCTCACTTCTGCCTCTCTAAAATGGGGATATTTCTCATGGTGCAAGTCTTCAGATAATAATAAACTTTATAGGGCCCTGTAGGATTAATGAGGTAATGTGAAAGCATCTAGGGCTTAAATGTTCAATCAGTGGTATTCCCTTTTTCTTCTCCCCTCCTGCAGTGAAAGCCCTAAATTCCTTGTAAGGGAAATTTTCAGGAAGTTAGGGTCAAAGAGAAAAACCATATTTTCTTGCTTTCTATTAAAGAGTTGGTTTTTCCTTTTCCTTGCAATACTCAGTTCTTTCTCTTAATCTTTATCCTTCCATTCTGTCTTCATTCCCTTAAAAGCTACACTTTAAGAACCAATGACCAGAAGTTTAAAAAAGGGCCTATTTCCCCCTTTACTTCACTTCAAAGGGGGCAATTCTAATCATGACTCATTAGAAAATTATAGCCTGTTGGGTGATTTAAATGCTGGTGACTGTTCCAGATGCATTGGCTCATGCCTGTAATCCTAGCACTTTGGGAGGCTGAGGCAGAATCGCCTGAGGTCAGGAGTTGGAGACCAGCCTGGCCAACATGGTGAAACCTGTCTCTACTAAAAATACAAAAATTAGCCAGGTGTGGTGGCGGGTGCCTGTAATCCAAGTTACTCAGGAGGCTGAGGCAGGAAAACCACTTGATCCTAGGGGGCAAAGGCTGCAGTGAGTGGAGATCGCATCATTGCACTCCAGCCTGGGAAACAGAGCAAAAACTCAAAAAACTAACACCTAGAGGGAACATGGATTTCTTCCAAGCATGTCTGTAAAAAATTCCTAAAAAAAAAAAAAAAAAAAAAAAAAAAAAAAGCATCTCCTCCATAAACCTGTTCCTTATATATTTCTCTTAATTCATGGTCCACAACTCCTCATCTGGAATTCTGAAATCAAACGAGCTCTGAAGGCCACGTGTGATGGCTCACACCTGTAATCCTAGCACCTTACCAGGCCGAGGCAGGAGGATTGCCTGAGGCCAGGAGTTTGCAACCAGACTAGGCAACAAAGCAAGACCCATCTCTACAAAAGGAAATTTAAAAAGAAAAATAAGCTCTGAAAATAGGAAAGTTTTTTTTAGTAAATATGGTCTCAGAACACATTTAGCAGCAAAACCTGAACTAACCTCAAACGAGATTATCTATAGTCTTTACTCCACTCAATTATTTTCAACTGGGTATTTTTTGCTACAGAAATATTCATATTCTGAATTCTGTACCTAGTGTATTTTAGTTTTAATTTTATAAAAAAATAAAAAGAAATATTCATAATATTTGACTATACAGGGTTCTATCCCAGACCTCACTGGAGGTATTATACAAGTTATACGCGCCATAATGCCTTTCTAAAATTCAAAAAATTAGGATTCTGAAATATCTGGCATAATTTCTTAAAAGGCATGCACTCTCGCCGGGCACTGTAGCTCATACCTGTAATCCCAGCACTTTGGGAGGCCGAGGTGGGTGGATCACCTGAGATTGGGAGTTTGAGACGAGCCTGACCAACATGGAGAAACCCTGTCTCTACTAAAAATACAAAATTAGCTGTGCGTGGTGGTGCATGCCTGTAATCCCAGCTACTTGGGTGGCTGAGGATGGAGAATTGCTTGATTAAACCCGGAGGGCGGAGGCTGTGGTGAGCTGAGATCACATCATTGCACTCTAGCTTGGGCAACGAGAGTGAAACTCCGTCTAAAAAAAAAAAAGGCATGCACTCTCAATGGGGACAATATCGCAACCAAAGGGGCAAAATAGGTTTGTCAGGGAGAGAGAGAAAAAGTTAGATATTAAAATGGTAAGTAGCCCTCCAAAGCTCAACCTTACCCAACAAAATATTACTATTACACGAGCAGGAGTAACAGTGACTTCATGAAAGGCAGACAAAATATATGCAGAATCTATGCTACAAAATTATGGTGACCACATGGCTATGACTGGGGAACTTTCTCCTGATTGACTGCTGGATCTTGATATGGCAAGAGATGGCCTGTGCATGCCTGTTGGCTGCCATATGAATGTTATGTTTCACCTTCAGAGGCCGAGGCAGGTGGATCATGAGGTCAAGAGATCAAGACCATTCTGGCCAACATGGTGAAACCCCTTCTCTACTAAAAATACAAAAATTAGCTGGGTGTGGTGGCGGATGACTATAATCCCAGCTACTCAGAGGTTGAGGCAGGAGAATCACTTAAACCTGGGAGGCAGAAGTTGCGGTAAGCAGAGATCACACCACTACACTCCAGCCTGGGCGACTCCTCTCCCAAAAAAAAAAAAAAAGAGAGAGAGACTAGGTTTTGCTAAATTGCACATGCCAGTCTCAAACTGCTGAGCTCAAGTGATCCTCCCACTTCAGCCTCCCAAAGTGCAACCATCAGCCACTGTGCCTGGCCTCTCCTCTCCCATTTCTTAGCTTACTTCAATTCACTTCCATGCCATCAAAACTGTCTTTGTAAAGGCCACTTATCAAGTACATGATGCTAAATTCAGACATTTTCAGTCCTTTTCTTTGCTTGTTTTCTTGCTAGCACTCAATCCTGACAACCATTAATTTTTGATATACTTTCTTGTGGCTTTTGTTTTTTTTTCCTTGGAGACGGAGTTTCGCTCTTGTTGCCCAGGCTGGAGTGCAATGGCACAATCTCGGCTCACCGCAACCTCCGCCTCCTGGGTTCAGGCAATTCTCCTGCCTCAGCCTCCTGAGTAGCTGGGATTACAGGCATGCGCCACCATGCCCAGCTAATTTTTTGTATTTTTAGTAGAGATGGGGATTCACCATGTTGACCAGGATGGTCTCGATTTCTTGACCTCGTGATCCACCCGCCTCGGCCTCCCAAAGTGTTGGGATTACAGGCGTGAGCCACCGCGCCCAGCCCTTCTTCTGGCTTTTTGAGATAAACTGTCGCCCAGGCTGGAGTACAGTGGCTCACTGCAACCTCTGCCTCCCAAGTTCAAGTGATTCTCCTGACTCAGCCTCCTGAGTAGCTGGGATTACAGGCATGCACCACCACGCCCAGCTAATTTTTTTTTTTTTTTGAGTCAGTCTTGCTCTGTCGCCCAGGCTGTATTACAGTGGTACAATCTCGGCTTACGGTGTCCTCTGCCACTTGGGGTTCAAACAATTTCCCTGCCTCAACCACCTGAGCAGCTGGAACTATAGGCGTGCACTACCACGCCCAGCTAATTTTTTTGTATTTTAGTAGAGATGGGGTTTCACCATGTTGGCCAAGATAGTCTCGAGCTCCTGACTTCAGGTGATCCAACCATCTCAGCCTCCCAAAGTGCCACCGTGCCCAGTCTCTCTTGGCTTTGCAGACACCAAGCACTCCTTGTTTTCTTCTTCCAGTTCTGATTGATGTTTCCTTTCTTCCTGCGCATCACAGCTGATCTATCTTAGGGTTCTCTTTTTACCCCAGCTTTCGTAACATTTTTCCTGAGTGCTATGAATGATTCCATAGTTTTTTAGTTGCCATGTATAGAGATAAACAGATAGATGATCAAACCTCTATCTCCATTCCCAGGCCTCATTCTTGACTTCCATATTCAACTGATTTTTGGACAGCTTTCCTTGAAGGTCAGAGAATCCTCAAAATGCACAAACTTAAATTTATCACAATTAACAGCATCACTATCCATTCTGCTCTCAAGGTAACAGGCATAGGAGTCATGCTTCATTTTTTTCCCCTTGGCTTCAGCCACCAGATGAAATCAATAACCAAGTCTGATGATTCAAATTCCTAACTCTCTTATTTCCTACTATTACCATCTCAGCTGCTGCCATCATCTCTTGCCAGGACTACCACTTTAAAGAACTCCCAGTTACAGCCAGGAGGCCAGGAGCAGTGGTTCACGCCTTTAATCACTTTGGGAGGCCAAGAGGGGCAGATCACTTGAGGTCAGAGTTCCAGACCAGCCTGTCCAATATGCTGAAACCCCATCTCTACTAAAAATACAAAAATTAGCTGGGCGTGGCACCACACACCTGTAATCTCAGCTACTCAGGAGGCTGAGGCAGGAGAATCGCTCAAACGCTTGAACCCCAGGAGGCAGAGGCTGTAGTGAGCAAGCTGAGATCGCACCACTGCACTCCAGCCAGGGTGACACAGCAAGACTACATCTCAAAAAAAAAAAAAAAGAAAAAAGAAAAAGAAAAAAGGAACTCCAGCCAGGTGTGGTGGCTGATTCCCATAATCCCAACACTTTGGGAGGCCAAGGAGGGAGGATTTCCTGAGGTCACGAGTTCGAGACCAGACTGGCCAACATGGCGAAACCACGTGACTACCAAAGATACAAAAAAATTAACCGGGCCTGGTGGCAGGTGCCTGCAATCCCAGCTATTTGGGAGGCTGAGGCAGGAGGATTGCTTGAATCCGGGAGGCAGAAGTGCAGGGAGCCTAGATTGCGTCACTACAATCCAGGCTGGGCGACAGAGCAAGACTGTCACACATACACACAGACACTCTTAGTAAGGAATCTTATTGCACTTTAATACATTCTCACCACAGCAATACAAGTTTTAAAAAATTATATACATAGATCATGTGACTTCTGAGATCACTGTCCTCAGGATAAAGCCCAAATATCATTCCTCCAGGCTACCGGCCCATCCAGCTCATCAATCTTTTGCTTCTGAAATACTAATTCCCCTCTCCTACCCCACAATGAGCACTCCTATCCACAGGTTTAAAGGCACTCTCTGATCCCCCTAGGCTGGGATGAATTCCCTTAGTATATGCATCCATAGCGCTCTGGATTGCTCCATCCAAAATAGATCATTTCATACTAGCCTCCGAATTAGGGGACACAATTTTAAGCATTTGGAGGTGAAAAAAAAAAGTAGAGGATACAAGATCAACTGGAGTGTGGCAAGAAAAACACATACACAGAAGCCTTACTAATATTTAATATACCTACTAACCTATTAATATTGACAATTTTTGGCAGGGCGCAGTGGCTCTCGCCTATAATCCCAGCACTTTGGGAGGCCGAGACAGGCAGATCACCTGAGCCCAGGAGTTTGAGACCAGCCTGCCCAACATGGTAAAACCTCACCTCTACTAAAAATACAAAAATTAGCCAGGCATGGTGGCGGATGCCTGTAATTCCAGCGACCTGGGAGTCTGAGGCACACGAATCACTTGAACCCGGGTGGCAGAGGTTGCAGTGAGCCAAGGTTGTGCCACTGAATTCCAGCCTGGGCGACAGAGCAAGACTCCATAGCAGAAAGAAAAAAAAAATTTCATTTGTTGGTCAGATGGCCAAGTTTTTCTGAAGACTGAGCATTATAACAAGCAGGTGATACTAGTTCATTACTATTTACTGTCTCACACTGTAGTCTATGTCACTAGTTAAGTGGACTTGTGGCTTACAGTCTCATCAAGAAATGTAATAGAAGATAATGCTAAATATGCAAGCACAAGTGAAACAAGGAAAATACAGGGCTAATGCTTCTAGAAATATGAGCTCTTAAGTACCAGAATTTCACCTGCCACATTACAATAAACAAAAAATACATATAATAACCAGCTAATCAGAACTAAGTCAGCCAAAAATTTCAATTATCTGAATTTAAAATATGGTGGCTCATGCCTGTAATCCCAACACTCTGGGAGACTAAGGCGGGAGAATTGCTTGAGCCCAGGAATTCAAGGCCAGTCTGGGCAACATGTCAAGACCCCATCTCTATAAAAAAATACAAAAATCGTGCTCAATTCGGCAGCACCTATACTAAAATTGGAATGATAAAGAGAAGATTAGCATGGCCCCTGCGCAAGGATGACATGCAAATTCGTGAAGCGTTCCATATTTTTAAAAAATATACAAAAATTATCCTGTAGGTAAGCATGTTCCTGTGGCAAAAAAAAAAAAAAAAAAAAAAAAAAATAGTTTTTTTGGACATGATGGCACATGCTTGCGGTCCCAGCTATTCAGGAGCCTGAGGCAGGAGGATCACCTGAGCCCAGGAGTTCAAGCCTGCAATGAGCCATAATTGTGCCATTGTACTTCAGCCTGGCAGCAGAGTGAAACCCTGCCTCAAAAATTTATATTTATTTAAGAAATTAAAAATAGATAAATAAAATATGGATTTATAATATTTTGTGAACCTTACTCCAAATGTATATTATGCTCTAAATTAATACCTACTAAACATATAAAGTTATTATTATCAGCATGACATTTAAAAATGTTTGTCTTCAGGCTGGATGCGGTGGCTCATGCCTGAGCACCACTGCACTCCAGCCTGGCGATAGAGCGAGACTGTGTCTCCAAAAGAAAAAAAAGTTTGTCTTCATACCCCCCCTTTTTTTTTTCACCCCGCCCCACCTTTTTTTTTTTTTTTGGTCTTCATCCCTTTAAAATGTTTTTTAAGTTGGGTGTGGTGGCTCATGCCTGAGTGAGGCTCAAGATTTTAAAGGCTCAAGACTTCCTTTAAAAAATAAATTGGCCAGGCACGGTGGATCACTCCTGTAATCCCAGCGCTTTGGGAGGCAGAGGCGAGCAGATCATTTGAAGTTAGGAGTTATGAGACCAGCCTGGCCAACATGGTGAAACCCCATATCTACTAAAAATACAAAAAAATTTGCCAGGTGTGGTGGTAGATGCCTGTAATTCCAGCTGCCTTAGGAGGGTGAGGTAGGAGAACTGCTTGAACCCAGGAGGTAGAGGTTGCAGTGAGCTGAGATCGCAATACCCCGTCTCAAAAAAATAAATAAATAATACATTTTAAAAAATTAAATAACATTAAAAAACATAATTTGGTAAATTACATAGACTACATAATATTTCATAAGATACACAGAGGGCTGGGCGCGGTGGCTCAAGCCTGTAATCCCAGCACTTTGGGAGGCCGAGGCGGGTGGATCACGAGGTCAAGAGATCGAGACCATCCTGGTCAACACGGTGAAACCCCGTCTCTACTAAAAATACAAAACATTAGCTGGGCATGGTGGTGCGTGCCTGTAATCCCAGCTACTCAGGAGGCTGAGGCAGGAGAATTGCCTGAACCCAGGAGGCGGAGGTTGTGGTGAGCCGAGATTGCGCCATTGCACTCCAGCCTGGGTAACATGAGTGAAACTCCATCTCAAAAAAAAAAAAAAAAAAAGATACACAGAATATTAATTGATATAACATTTGCAAATAAAACAGATAATTCTCAGACTATAATTGGTCTCAAATATCTTTTGCTAATGTTTTCAGATTTTGAAAGTTAACTTGTAACTTCTACAAAGCAGTAAGTATTATTTAAAAAAACAGATTTCCAGCTTCAAGAGGGAGAGGAATTGTAGAAAGGATGGGAAATCATGCAAATAAGACAACACTAGAACCACATTCTGCATGGCAGCAACAATTGGCTAGAGCTCAGTAGACAGGAAATAGGGCTGTCCCGTTCATCTGCCAGTCTCCCTTTGGTTTATTTCATTCAATTATCCACTAGAATGTAAAATCTGGAACTTCACCAGAAAGAGGTTTTGTCTGTTTTGTTCACCACTGTATTTCCAGGGTCTAGAAAAGTCCCCAGCACATAGCAAGCACTCAATAATCACTTGCTGAAAATAATTGCTGTCTGCCTGGTCCTAAAAATATGGGTTTCTAACAAGTATTCACAATGTTTCTGTCCTCTCCTCAATGACAAAGACTCGTTAATTTAACTTTATATTTAATATAGGGCTTGGCTGGGTATGGTGGCTCATACCAGTAATGCCAGCACTTTGGGAGGCCAAGGCAGGTGGATCACCTGAGATCAGGAGTTCAACATGGTGAAACCCCCTTCTCTACTAAAAATACAAAAGTTAGCCAGGCATGGTGGCGGATGCTTGTAACCCCAGCTACTAGGGAGCCTGAGGCAGAAGAATCACTTGAACCCAGGAAGCAGAGATTGCAGTGAGCTGAGACAGCACAACACTCCAGCCTGGGTGACAGCAAGACTCCGTCTCAAAATATGCATGTATGTATGTATGTGTATATATATATATATATAGCTTGACACATAGAAAGTACTTTGTTTACTAAGTAACTAACAGCTATTAATTATCACTTACTGAGTACTTACTATGTGCTAAGCACCGAGCTAAAATGCTTTACAGGCATTACCTCATTTAATTCCTGTAACAATCCTATTATCTCTATTTTATTTTATTTCATTTTTATTTTTATTTTTTAGAGACAAGGTCTTGCTCTGTCACCTAGGCTAGAGTATGACAGTGAGATCATAGCTCACGGCAACCTCAAGCTCCTAGACTCAAGTGATCCTTCTGCCTCAGCCCCTAATATAGCTGGGACTGTAGGCACATGCCACCACACCCAGTTTTTTTTTTTTTTGTAGAGATGGGGGTTTTGCCATGTTTCCCTGACTGATCTGAAACTCCTTGCCTCAAGTGATCCTCCTTCCTGAGCCTCCCAAAGTGCTAGCAATACAAGTGTGAGCCACTGCACCTAACCTATACCTATTTTAAAGATAAGGAAATGAGGCTATGTAAAACAAGCAATTGGTCAAAAAACTAGTAACATGGAATGAAATAACTGTAATACAAAAAAGGATGTGAAAAGGGCTATATGGGCCTGGGCGCAGTGGCTCATGTCTGTAATTCCAGCACTTTAGGAGGCTGAGGCAGGTAGATCACAAGGTCAGTAGTTCGAGACCAGTCTGGTCAAAGGATGAAACCCCATCTCTACTAAAAAAAAAAAAAAAATTAGCCAGGCATGATAGCAAATGCCTGTAATCCCAGTTACTCAGGAGGTTGAGGCAGAAGAATTGCTTGAACCCGGGGGAGGGGTTGGAGTGAGCTGAGAAGATTGCGCCACTGCACTCCAGCCTGGGAAACAGAGCGAGACTCTGTCTTTGGGGGCAGGGGGAGAAAAGGGCTATATGGAAGTTATGAACAGTCCAGGCACAGTGGCTCATGCCTGTAATCCCAGCACTTTGGGAGGCTGCAGAGGGCAAACTGCTTGAGGTCAGGAGTAAGACCAGCCTGGTCAACATGGTGAAACCCCGTCTCTACTAAAATACAAAAATTAGCTGGGTGTGGTGGCACGCAGTTGTAGTCCCAGTAACTTGGGAGGCTGAGGCAGGAGAATGGGTTGAAGCTGGGAGGTGGAGGGTGCAGTGAGCCAAGATCACACCACTGCACTCCTGCCTGAGAGGGAGACTCCGTCTCCAAAAAAAAAAAAAAAAAAAAAAGGGGTGCTGCACACTGTGGCTCACGTCTGTAAACCCAGCACTTTAGCAGACCAAGGCAGGTGGATCACTAGGTCAGGAGTTCAAGACCAGCCTGGCCAACATGATGAAACCCCGTCTCTACTAAAAATACAAAAAATTAGTTGGGCGTGGTTCAGGCACCTGTAATCCCAGATACTCGGGAGGCTGTGGCAGAGAATCACTTGAACCTGGGAAGCAGAGGTTGCAGTGAGTAGAGAT